TTAGTAAATCTACATCAAAATATCTCTAGTTTGGGTCATGAGGACGGTTCCAAACATGATAATTCTTCTGCTATATATATTATTGATTATGTTTGGATTCTTATTTTTTTTCTTTAGATAATCAAGAATACATATATAGATGTAGAGTTTTTATCTCTTGCTTGGATGATTTTTCTTCTGCCCTGTGATCTTGTTATTCGTATTGTTACAGACAATGCTGATTTCGGTACTGCATGTGGTAAATACTTCCACGTGTCGTGCGGCCTTAGCATTGTTGATCCAAATATTTTCCGTAGATCTTTATGTAGTTTAAAATTCACCATATGAAGAAAAGCCATGTAATTGTTCATATTACTTTGCTTAAAACATTTCAGGTGATTCGGATATCATCAAGGCACTCCCTGGTGACCAGTGATTTTGACATTAGTGTCTTCTTCGTACAAGAAACGTTACGCTTCCGATGCAAACCTTTTTTTGTTTAAGATAAAAACGTTGGTTAATTATTTGGATAGATGAATGTCGATTATGTAAGGCTAGTTCTAATTTGAGTAGTAGGCTCATGATATCCCCTGGGAATCCTCTTTTGATTATATTACCAGGATTTTGAATCTTATTAGTTTCATATATAATTTTTAGAAGCCTGATGATAGCTTAACAATATGGATGCTCTATAAGAGCCTAATCAAAGAGATTTAAAAAATTTCATAAAATAGATAGTTCATAGAGCTTTATTGAAATGCAAGAATAAAAGAGAAGAAGGAAGAAGCTTTAGCTTGTCTCCAAAAACCAAAAGTAAATAATTTTAGATTGATATTCATAAAAACAACATAAGTAGCACAATGTCGATTGTTCGGAGTGCTAGAGAAGAGGCAGGGGTGTTGGAAGTGATAGAGTTCAATTCATATTCGAAGAAGAAATACTTCATGGCATAAGGAAACTGTGCCCAAAAATACTTCATGGCACGATTTCCTTATACATTGATAACTTTTTGGGTCGGGATAAGAGTATATCCAATCCCTCTTCACTCTACTAACAGAGACTGTACAGAGTAGTGGGGATTTCTATGATGCTTGGATGATATGAACTAGTATGCATATGTAGATTGATAACAAACAAGATTTTGCTATATATAATGTGATTGTGTAAAAAAAAAAAACAAAGATTACAGAAATGAACAAATTGAACTCATCACATCACATAGATGTTTTAAATATCTGCAGAGGAAACCCTCGGATTAGTATGGAGGGTCTTGTTCTTCTTCGGTTTCTTCATTTCCGAGGTTTTAATATTCTCTTCAACATTGTTCTTTTCTTCCTCTACTTCTGTTGCTGCGAGCTTCGTCTTCATCTTTTCCTTATAAATCTTCCTCATTGCGTAAACCTCTACCAAACCAACAGTCCCCGATCCACCAACACCATACATCTTTCGAAAGAAATGATCGTCTGAAAAAATTAAAAAACAAGTTTGGTCTGATTCTGAAACTTAATGGTACTATGTGAATTTAAGTCGGAAAAGAGAGGGTTGTATTTATAGGGCTGTGTTGTATGGAGGGCAAGTTACATGGAAGTTTCCCTTGGGAAAGGCCAATTTTGATTTTTCTTTCTTCTCATTTGGAAAACGTAGAAAATGGGAAAAGTGAAAATTATTTTTTGCTTGGAAACCAAGAAATTAATAGATTCTCTACCTTACATTTGACCCAAGCAATCACAATCATTGACAAAAACACTTCTGACACTCCATATTGCTAGAAGCGTGAGTTGTGGTTCGATTCCATGTCAATTTAATTACGAAATTTGCATTGGCTTGGAGAACAATTCTAACCTAACTAATTAAGAAAATAAATTTACCAACATATTGTAAACTATTTAATTAATAGGTAAATAGCAAAACAATGCATCACATAATATTGTAAACCATTCTCTATATGAGTACACTTAAAAATCACTAG